CTCACAGAATAAATTCAGCAAACAATTCTTGGAACTAAAACTGGCAGCAACAAAAGATGCAGAAAGAATGAGATCAGTTTAAATACTGGTTTTATGACATTAGAATTTTTCTCACACCTCTCACTCAGATCACCCATAATTTCCATAGATAATAACTATCTTTCTCTTTCTTGCAGTTCCTCCAAAGCAAATGACTCTCTTATTCCCTTCCTAATATCTCTTCTGCTCCACAGGTACTAACCATGCTTGTCTGTCACATTATCTAGCTGATTAACATCATTATGGTTCAGTCAAAGCCATTGTACGCAATTTCTATTTCCTTGTGCTTCAGGCCTGAGTAAGCGTGTGAGTTCATCCCTTTAACTATACAAGTTGGGCTAATAAATGATATTGTTTTTTCCTATAAACTTTGTTTTCTGCTTTCCAGCTATTTACTTCTGGTATTTCTTTTATGCCATGGGGGAAAGAACTACATTTTCACTACATGGTTCTGTCCCTTCAACACTGTAGGCTGCCTGCCTATTCAGATCTGACTTCAGAGTCTATTCATTGCATAGGCGAGCAGAACAAGGAACTGCAAGGAACTATAATAAATAAATAAATAAATCTTTTAATTGTTGTACATGTATAAATCTATTTTTCTCCTGCCAGTTCATTTTCCCCATGGCAAAGGGGGTAGCAGAAATAGCAGGAACCAGTAGAGCTGCTGCTGCAGATTTGATGGCATTGAGACCACATCTTGACCCAGGGCAAGGCAGTGCTGCATGCAGCTCTCATCACCCAGGCTGCGGGCTGCTATTGCCATCTCCTGGCTTTCATGTTTTCCTCTTTCACTTTCCTTCCCCCCCCCCTTTTTCTTTTTTGTTTGTTTGTTTTTGTTTTCTGTTTGCTATTTACAACATCCTGAGGAGGGGAAGCAGAGAGGGAGGTGTCAGCTGCTGCTCCCTGAGAACTGAGGACATGCAGGAAGAGCAGAGCATTGCACCAGGAAAGGTTCAGACTGGACATCAGGAAACATTTATTTCCTGTGAAGGTTGTCAAGTCTTTGAACAGTCTTCTTGGAGAGGTAGTGATGTCTCTTCTTGTCAGTGCTCAAGAGTTTTGGACAATGCCCTCATCAATATGCTCTAACTTCAGGTCATCCCTGAAGAGGTCCGGCAGTTGGAGTGGCTGTTCACCTTGACCTTCCAACCTTCCAAGCAAACTATTCTATTTTGTAGGGTCTGACAGAAACCTTGACTGGTGTTTTGGTGCTCCCTCAGTTGAAGTAATAATACGGAATTCTGAACGAATTATGGGCGTTGTCTGTGGCCATCACAATGCACAGATTTCATGATTACAGTCAGCATTGTATAACACTGTTTTATGTCTTTGATTAGAGGATGTATATTTTAAAAGTTTGGGGTCAAATAAGCTATTTCAGACTTAATATAAGTTTTGCAGAAAGTCCACAGCCTCAGCTTTTTTTTCATTCCTTTTGTCAGTAAAGACTGAGTGCACATTCAGAAGGGCAGAACTGAACACCATGTATTTCATTACGCACATCACCTTCCCTAAGGTGTGTTAAAGAGTTCTCATTTATGTTAAATCACCACAAAAATGTGTTCCATAGAACGCCTATTGGCAGCTGTTGTGAACTCAGCAACTACAGGATTCTCTTTGCAAAAGAAGTAACTTTTTACTGTAGACAAATAAGGGCAAATCAAATGCACTGACTCTTCATTTCTTTCAGTTCTAGATCTGAGAAGACATAATACTCTTTATTATCTGCTTTAGAAGTGAAGTAAATTTAAAGAAATCTTGCAATAACTGCATAATGCAGTTAAACCGAGGTAGGGCAGGCTTTCTACAATGAAATCTAAGATATGTTGAAAAATAGTGTCATAGTATTAGATCTATTTAGTAGTCTCATATGAGAAGATAATTTCAAATAGTGAAATATATCATAATAGCATAAACTATTACAGTGGTAAGTGTGGTAGTTTCAGTGGTTGTTCCATAAAACAACTTCTGAGACACAGTCTAATTGTGCCAAAACTTCCAGCAGCTCAATTGGTATCATATAGGCGTAGTGAAACTTAGTTTCAACAAATATTATTTGTATAGGGACACATATGAATTACGTTTCTTGAAAAAGAGCCAAGTGTAACGTATGCACTAAACATTCATGTCACTTAACACGCAGGCTCTAGAAATGAAATATAGTACTTCTTGATTTGTTGAATTTTTAGTTATTTGTGCCACAACTATTCAGTAGGTATGAAAGCAATAAGGAATGAATGGGCTTGTTGTTTGTTAGCAGCAAAGTTTCAAAGCCACCATGTTACCACTCTGCAGTTTCCTTTTCAGGCTATTTTGTGAAATTACGCTGCTCGTTTGCAACTCTGAAAGCTACTTTGGGACACTAATTCTGCTGCAGAAGTAGTAGTATTCTTTTTATAGGATTTATTCTGAAGAAGCTTTTTCTGCCATATCTGTGTTTTTCTTTCCACACAGGCCTGCTCGTTCACTTGTAATTAACCCTTAGTATGATGTGGGGTGCTCCGTTTTCCTATAAACTGCAAGGAATTATGAGTCTGCAGAAGGAGTTGGGTGGTGTGGGGTTCTCTTCAAATGCCTTCAGCTTGGCACTATCCTGAAATACAATATGTGAGGCAGGTGATCTGTAGCTTTGTATAGAACAACATGTGTGTATTCAAAACATTGTATGGCTTGCTTCAGTGAAAAGCCATAGAAAACATGAAGAATCAAAAAGAAAAGAAAAAAAAAAAAAAGAAAAAAAAGGAATCTGCAAAATCATGTAATATGCATTTTTTCAGTCAATCATTTACAGGCAATAGAACACAATTAGGAACTTGCTTCAGAATTTAAAAACCATAAAATGATATTGTATGGCTTGAAAATGATTCACTTACATTTCTTGATAAAGCATTGCATTTTGGTATGGCAACAGTGGTTTCCCTAAAAGTAATTTGTAAAGTTACCTTGAATAACAAATTAGTGACTTCAATACACATGGTTGTGGTAGGATTTATTTCTTTGAGCACTGCAGTGTTACCTTGATGTAGATTTATAGAACTGTGCTTTTGTGCTTTCTGGAAGCTTTGCAAAAATCTATACTGAATTAAAGAACATGTTCTGAAACTTTCTGTGGTATGAGAAATTTGCTCTGATGCCTTCCATGGAATTATTTCAGCTTTTATAAAGTTAGAATTCAAAATAATTAAACTCCAAATGTAGGTGAAGTTGGAAAATGAAAAGAAAGGGACTTTTAGTTAATTGTTGTAGTTGAAATTCTTTTATTCAGTCCAATGGGAACTTTGCTTCAGTTTTTTAATGATTTTGCAGTAATGGCTTTTCAGCTTACGCAATTTATATAGCAATTGTCTGATAATGGTGGAGAATTAACTCCTAATTAAACAGTCATAAATAGTGATGCAAGATGTGGTAAAATAATAAGCGTCTTAAGGAGAAATAACACCGTCCTTTGTTTTAGAGTGCTGTTCAATTACTTCTTTTGTTGTAAAAATATCTAACATTTCTGGTGCTATTTTACTGTTTAACAGGCCACGTCCATGTCCATTTTATGGTAATTGCCATGATTTACTGAGAACTCTGCACTTTAAAGCCCTAAAATTTAAAAGCATATGTGAATGAACAGAATTGGCACTTAGAGTTGTACACTGTGCCTAAACAGCAGCTGATCGGAAAATATTAAATATCATTCACTCAGTGAATATATGCTATGCATATGAGTATTATGCATTCTTCTTTGCTCTGGTTGACCCTTTCTCCACTTACATTTAAACCATGACATGGAATAGGATTAAATATTAAAAAATCATAATTTTTTTCTATAACTTACAGAGCATTGCAATTTTTCAAGTCCGTTAACCACTGTGTGAACAATCTGTGGACATTCTTCATGAACATCCTTGATAATTTTTTCTGAACATTCACAAAATGCTAATGAATATTAAGCAAAATTCATCAGGATGTAAAATCCAGTGAGGTAAGGTGGCCTTTTTCATCACATGAAAATTGAATTTTTTTTTTTTTTTGTAGTTTTGAGAAAGTTCTTGTTCGTTTAAAAAGTTCGATGACAATTGTTACTGGCATTTCCCTTTCAGAAGGATTAAATCTCTACCCATCAGATTAATAACTATGTACAGGTCATAAATGGCATGTAATAGCAAACATATAATAATTTACAAATCTCTACCACTACTTTATATACACTCAAATACATATTTAGATACATCTAAAATAATAAATTGGGAGACTTGTTTATACTGTCTGAATTAATAGTATGCCTGTACAACTCTGCAGGTACATCAGCACAGTACAGACCTAAGAAAAGGAAAACTATAGAACTTCCCTGCATGTCTGTTCAGGCAATGTTTATTACTGGACTCTCAGATGTAATTATGTGCCACTTCATGAGTCTATTGATAGAACAAGGAGTAACATTTTTAAACTAAAAGAGAAGAGATTTAGATGAGATCTTAGGAGGAAATTCATCACTCAGAGGGTGGTGAGGCACTGCAATAGGTTTATAGGTTTCCCAGAGAAGCTGTGGATACCCCATCCAAGGCCAGGCCGGATGGGGCTTTTGGCAACCTGGTGTAGTGAGAAGTGTCCCTGCTCATGGCAGAGAGACTGGAACTAGGTCCCTTCCAACCCAATCCATTCTGTGATTCTATGATTCATTAACAGTGACTCCAAACAGTTTTAGGCTCAATAGACTCAATTTGTTTAGTCCGTTATATTGTGTTGTCTCTCAAACTATGAGCTGTTCGGATAATCTTGACTGTGAGAGAAGTATAATCTGAGAAAACAACTGCATGCATGTTTTAGATGTAAACCACATGTTTTAGGCAACACATGAGCTTATGCTGTCACAAAGTGAATAACAGAAGGTTGTTAGAGTTTCAGTGTAACTGCTATCAGACAAAAGTTTGGGATTAGTTGATTTTGATGTTGAGTGAAACAATGTGCTCTTTAGTCGTATGGTATTGCTAGTCAGTATCTTTCTTTCACTTGTATGTATGCTTCCTCCCTGATCCTTCCTGTGACACTGGTGGTTTGGCCAATTTCCCATCCATTTTCCAGTTCACACTGTCAACACGTCCTTACTTTGGCTACCACGATACAATGTGAGACAGTATCCAAAAGTTTTGCTAAGATCAAGATAAATGACATCAACTACAGAACAAGTCATTTGATTATAGAAACAGTTGCTTTGGTAAAGTATGATTTGTCAAAAATCATGTTTTTGTTGTATTTGTCTTTAGTTGGAATATTTAATATAGTGTCAGTTATAAATGAGTTTAACACATTATTAACACAAATTCAAAATAACAAAAAGAAAAAAAAAGATTAAATCTTTCAACAGATAGATCACTGTTTGCTCTGCAGTGAAAAATTGTGCTTACTGTTGCTTTTGACATTTTAATGAGTTACATTTAAATTCACCCTCTGCAGGAACTAGGATTGGAGGAATAGATTACAAGCAAATGAGAAGGAAAGTAATATGTTAATTATTAATGTCTCTGTGATGTTTGGTAATTATTAAATTAAAAAAGTAGCTTCAGAGAAGCCCCTTGATACTAAGTTTTAAATTCAGTTTGAGAAGAATAATAGAGTAGACCATGGAAGCACTTGAAATGACTTACCAGAAAGATAGCAGATTAGCAGCCTCTAAACATTTCCCTATATAGATTCAATCATTTGTTAAGCGACAAGTACAATACATCTTCAGAGTGATTGATATATCATATGATATAGCCCATACACTAGGGAAATATAGAGGAGGTCAAAGGATTTCTGTTTTATATTCAAAGTACAAAGAAATTCAGGGAAATCAAAGTCTCCTGATCTGCTGAAAAAAAAAAAAAAAAAAAAAGAATAATCAACTATAGTCTTAAATTTCTACCTCTGTAAATATTTCATGAGTTTTTACAGCACTCTGGATTTCTCTGGAATCATTTTACTTTGGATAAATCAGAGACTAGTTCAAAAAACAAAGAAACAAACAAACAACAACAAAGTAAATGACTGGTCATATTCTTTTTACTTAGAAAATGTCAGCAATGCTGGTTTCAGATGTTATTACAGCATTACAGTAAGAAGAAAAAAAAAGAGGGGGAGGAGTTATCTGCCTACCTTACCTTCCCCTCCCAGTTGTTATAAATTAGATGTTAATGGTAATAAAGGAAAGGCTATAAGGCTTTTCAACCTTTGGTTATAAATATTTCTACCAACAATATAAGAAAATACGTATTTTCTTTAAAAGTAACTGTGTACATTTATATATAAAGAGAGCATAAAACAAAACAAATTTGGGACTTCTTTTTTGTCATAAAATAAATGTGAAAGGTCAAAAGAAACAGTGAATGCAACTTAGTATTTATTAATTAGCTGTAATTGAAGCCTGTGATCACTTGTTTTGGTAATACCTTATTCTGAAATTTAGGGAAAGAAGATACAGGACACTATATATGACTAGACCATAGAAGAAAGCATGTCACACAAAATAACTCTGTATTTTAAGGAACATAAATTTCTATATGTGCCTTAGCTAAGACTTCTGCAGTGGACAATGTAAGTAACTGCCTGTGCCTGGTTGCTGCAACTATTTCTTTGCAAATTATTTTCACTTCAGACAGATTTGTTTCCATTCAACATCATCTATGTTGTTTTGTTGTTAGTATTTTAAAATGTTCATCATAGAACCAAAATTAGAAAAGATATTTCTTGTTTTAAAAGAAATCACCAGCTTAACTGCTTGTGCAGCACAAAACCTTGATGACATAAACCAAACTTGTCTTACACAAAGATATGGCATACTTGTCTTGTATGAAGATACGAGGGTATTTTAAAATTTGATCATTATCTGCTGAGATATTAGCATACTTTAAAAATACTGTAGCAGATAATAGTTCTTTTTCAGGATAGTCCAGTGATGCAGATCTCTGTTACTAGAGCTGCAGTTTTCTGCTAAGATAGTGGTACATTAAATAACTCTGCTAGAGAAATTAATCTTAATTTATATTTCATGGGCCAGATTTCAGAAATTGATATTATAAGCTTAGTGTTATTTAAGTGGCATATCAGCTGTGTGCTTTTGTGGCTTAATAGCAGCCTTTATCTTTACAGAATACTGTGTATGGTGTAATAGTAACACAGGGGTAAATACACTGGGAGAAAGGGTAACCGAAGCTGTAAAGGCACTGTGAGATGCGGTGCACGCTCTCCAGGTTACGTGACTGGGAGATCTGCCATGCTGCTGCATGTTGCTTCTCCACTCTCAATCCCAGTGCAGCTGCGTCTGGCATGAATTATTATTAGACTAGTCTACATTTGTACGTGTCTTGTGTTGTTCACTAGAAACAGCTGAAAAATAGAGCATGAGTAGTGACAGAGTTATTTCGAACATTTTAGGGGGAGGGAAGAAATTGCCAAGTGGCTTCCTCCCTCTGAGGGAGGAAGAAAGGTCATGAAAAGATTTGGAATAGGCTCCTGTTTTGTTCCTAACCTTAAATCTAACCAGTCTTGTTTTCTTGTTAACCTTGCTGTAACCTCTTTTGCCTAAAAGCATCAGGGGCAGTTTGTCAGTCCTCCAGTCGGTCTCAGGGACAATCTACACCTCTCCATTCCTCTTCTGGACTTTATCCTTCTTGGAATAAGTAAGCTACCTTTTTCCCTTCTGTGTTTAAGGGGAACTATCTGAGAGGATTGAGATGGACCACAAGGAGAGGGAATGAAGTGTAACTGCAGAGCAGGAGAGCAAAAGTGTCTATGGACACAAGGGAGATGATAGGTAGTGCAGAGAGATCTGTGGAGCTAGAAGGGAAGGTAAAACAATAGTGGCTGGGGACAAAGAGTCACTAACTACCCACCTAGGTCCCCAGTAGACTTCACAGTTTCCACGGGCTCCATTTTTTTCTCAATTTTTTCACCACCCATGAGTAACTGATAGAACCTTTTTTCTCTGGTAACTACTGCATTTCAAAGCTGTGAAGATGATACTGCTTTACTGCTTGTTATATTTTCTAACATGAATTGTTATTAAAGGTTATTAAAAGTATTTTAAAGGTTATTAAAATGTTAAGATAGTTCTTCCTATTATTTTTTATGCCACAAAAGGTTATTATACTCGTACAGGATTTTCCTCTGTTTTCAGGGTAATGAGTTCATTATTTTCTGCCTCAGAATAGAAGTACCTCTTATTTGGTAACTTGTACAAAACCACTAAATATCTAGAAGTATTTGGGTCAAAACGCCATCTGTAAATTAGAAGCAAGTGCAGTCTTTGTCAGTGAGTTTTGAAGAATATCACTGCTGTCCCCTTCCCCCTCCCTCAAAAAAAAAAAAAAAAAAAGATATACAGATGGATTGAAACTTAACTGTACAAAAAAGGTGAAATATAATGTGATCAGAGAATACTAAATTGATTATATAGTATAATCAATTACATCTGTCAATTTCTAGTAAGTTTCCAACAAGAATTGGAAAATAAAATAACATTTCTAGTTAGGATTGTTAAAAGAAAAAAAAAAAACTTTAAAAATATATAAAAAGGAAAAAAATGAAGGCTAAAAATGAGTGATATTTCCAGGTTCAATTCTTCCTTATTCTTTTAGAAATGTATAAATAGCCATCATGCCTCTTCTTTACCTTGGCAGATGCTACACTAGCAACATAAAATTCTAGTGCAATTGCTAAGAAAAAATAAAATTATATATAGTTATAGTTATAGTTATCGACCGACTGTATCTTGAAGTGTTAAATTTTGCCCTAAATAAGACCCTTTTCTCTTCCTTACAGGTTTGTCTGTCACTAATCCTAAAAGTGAAATGTATTAGTTTAAAATGCAGTGCTCTTTTAATGCTAAGTCAAATATTCATTAAGTTCTAGTTGCCCTGAACAGGAGACAGAAAGTGGTATCCACCACTGGAAACAAATATTTAATCTAGCAGTTGCAGAATCATTATGATAGTTTCTCAGGTGACAGCAGTAGAAATAAGTTAAATGGGAATTGCAGCATTATAAAATGGCGTTTTAGCTGTTATTGTCTAGATTATTGTAGTTCAGATTGCTGATCAAAGAATTAAGAATTGAGAATAGACTGTGTAATAAGGAAATGTGCATATTGTTAAGGTTGCTTTAGCATGAAAGAGTGGCCAAAGTTTCATTAACGTTGCGGTCTCAATCATTGGGTTAACTGCAGTAACATAATGCAGTGCAATTCACCTCATTACTCCTGGGTAAGCCACACTAGCTAAAATCATGAAAAAACTAATCTAAGTAAATGGGAGATGATACTAGTGGCAATTACTACATCAAGAACCTACGAAATTTTAAAAACAAATTGCAGGGAAAGATTGGTTTAGATTTCAGATAGAATAAAAGTATCTTGTGCTCAGAATAGATGAGGAAAAATGGATAAAACAAATACAGAATCTTGAACAAACAGCCCTAATAGTTTTTTTTGTTTGTTTGTTTGTTTTTTATCTGTCATCAAATAAATTTTGAATACGGCAACCAATTTGCAGTATCACCCTACAGAAATTCATGTAGCTACAAAAGGATCATAAATGACAGGATGAAATATTTGCCGACTGTATAGCATTCATTAATCTTTGAGCTGAACAAATCCAGGCTGACTGCAAGAAAACAAGAGATAGAAGTTATGACATGAACCAGGTTCTCTGGTATTTTATAGGAATTAATGGAAATACTGTAAATATTTCAGTCTTTAAGCACACTTGCACTGCACTAAAGATTGTTGTAGGAGATAGTTTGCTATATCATTGCAAAATAAATATAACTTCCATGAGTTAGATAGCTTTACATATTAAAGCTATGCAAATGTATCTGTTACTTAGAAATTCTCTTTATCTGAAAAATGAAAAAATATTCAGTTTTCTTATGGAAGAATATACATTGTTCAATGTTGCTTTAGGCAGAAATTCTCCATAATTTTCCAAGGCAATATTGGTGTTAGTAGGCTGATTGTAAAAATTCTGATGGATACCTTCTTAGAATAGTAATTTTCTCTATCAGCTAGATTTAATGAAGAATTTTTTAATGTGTTTGTGAGAGAGTAAAAAATAAATGTTTTTGGAGAAATGCATCAATTTTGACTATTCACTCATGTTAAGAGCTGAATTTCTAGATTCTCATTTTCAAACATAGTTGGAGTCCAGTGGTCCTAAGTACCCTTTATAGCAGCTACCGCAGAGCTCACCTGGGATGTGCTAGAGAATAGCTGTAGTACTTTTTTTCCACAGGTGTGTGGAGTGTGGATCTGTGTGGCCAACCACCAGCATTACTACCGGAGTATGCAGGTAGAGAGCAGTGTGCAGACATCCCTGGTTACATTGGTGGCATGCAGGTGGTGCAACTCAGTAATTTTTCCTTTAAACCGTACTCGTGTACTCTGTTAGTACTGGTGTTAGATGACTGGTGTTACCTACAGGCATTTTGCAGTGTGTTCTTTGTGTATGTGTGAGTCTCTTTAGAATACTTTAGAATACTTTATGATGAATTGAACAGGTTTTGATAGTACTAACACTTATCAACATGAGTTGATATCATATTCACAGAACTATTTTCGAAGGGACTGCATTTCAATTCAACAGCAGTAAGTAGATGTTGCATGTGTATGTAGATTTTGTGATAACCAGTGCACTCACTTCCTTGATAGCTCTTAATCATTGCTAAATAGATTTGAAATTTTATTGGTTTACATAATAGTTGCATATAATTCAGGTATGTAACCAAACTAAATATGTTTATTTAGTTTATTTGATATTATTTATAACCATCTAACTTGTTTTGCTTTTGATTTAATTAATGCTTTGTTATTTTTTCCCAAATTTTCCATTTTTTCCTCCATTGCCCTCAAATTAAATGGTTAGAAACTGTGTGCTCTGTTTCCTATAAAAATACAGACAACTCACAATATACATGCATGTTTGCTGTATTTGCTGTGATTATGGAAATAGTTTGCATACATATTTGCTGAACTTAAAGATCAAAAAATATATGAATATAGAAGGGTAAGAAAGAAAGATGATTATAATTAAAAATATATATATATTTTTTAAAGCAAAAGTGTTGGCATTTACTCTGGTAGTTTTAAATGATGTAATAAATTATAAACTAGCAACGGATTTTTTATTTAATTTTATTTCATGAATCATGTTAGCATATTTTTAAAAAATAAGAAACTCTCACATCTTTTACAGTGATTATTGCAAAAACATATTAAAAAAATAAAAACTAGAGAAGTATAAAAAGCCATGCAGTGTGTCTGGCATTTTCATTAATGTGTTTGGTTCCCTTCTGATATATATAACCTGGTTCTTTATTCTGCTGATCAGCATTGAAGATGTACAGCATAAAACTGCTGTGATAATACACTTGTTAGTGTCAGCATTTCTGTCTCATGTTGCTCAGTTTGGTCATCTAGGATAATCATATGTCATTGCGTACTATGCCTGTAGGAATAGGAAGAGTATGTCCAAAAATTACAATCAAATTTTCAAAGGCTTATTGAAGTAACAGTGTTCTTGTGCACTTCCCATTTGGATCTTAATTTAGGATAGTGCTTTAGAGCCTCAGTTTAAGTTTGGGAAAGTTTTTGTTTGTTTGTTTGTTTGTTTGTTTGTTTGTTTGTTTTCACGATTTAACAATTTATTTTTTGCTGAATTGGAAATGTGTTTTAAAAATTTTGTCTTTAATTTACGCCACTCTCAAAACTATGAGAGTACACTATAGGTCAGTTTATGACCACAGTTATATTCACTATATTTTGAAAGACATATTTAAGCATAAGCTTTATTTTAAACAAGCAAGTACATCTGCTGAACCTATTGATTTCAAAGATTTGGCGCCTGAATTTTCTTATAAAACAGGTTGTGTTCAGCATTATGGTTCCCATTCACTTAGTGGGTCTCTTTTATGAAACAGCACGGTAGTTTTAAAATCTCTAAATATTTTTCTGTAGTTACAAAATCAAGTGTTCTCTACAAATAAAAAGTTGTGATCCATTGTGTCACATACTATATTTCACTGTTTTTCTGCCCCCCTTGAGAAACTTGTATATCAATCAAAATAATCTTTTAGAAGGTTCAGAACTTTTTTGCTGATTTTACAACAAACTTATTTTCTTATTTTCAGTGTTCTGTTTAGTAAAAGAAAATTAAATCAAAGAAATAAATTCACAGGTACCTAATTTATGTGCCTGTGGTATTCCTAAAGGAACTTAGTGCAGATTTCACAAAGCAGTCTGGACTGTTTCTGTACATGGATTACTGATATTAGAGAAAAAATCTGTAATTTAAAGGCTTAATAACCTTGGACAAATTTTTCTGAGTCAGGAAGTCCCAATTTTGGATGTTCAGTTATCAGCAACAAAATGACCAAGCTGGGACATGATATCTTGAAAACATGGTAAAATCTAGTTTTACCTAGGTAATGCCATGGCTTCTGTGAAAGAGCAACACCTTGCAAAATTTTGTTAAGTCCAATACAAATGAATACAGAAGTCTACAGTCTCTGAATCGTTTCAGTATGAAATGCAACAAATATTAGTGTTTATCTTAAAAACATACATCACAGTTTTCTGCCACAAAACTACTTGCTAAAACAAAATCTCAAATCTAATGCATTACTGAACAGTCTATATTTGGATATGTAGTTACTTCATATACACCTGGTCCCAGAACTATTTAGTCACGCTAACATTCATTCTCTTCCTGGCATGAAAGTTACGGGAACATTTGGATTTACTAATATTCACAACATCAGAAGTTTTAGCACCATACTTCTAAGTTTTTCTCTCAAACCATTATCTGTCCACTGTGCTTTTTTGTTTGCAATACTTTTTGGTGGATTTTTTTCCAAAAAAGTCTCATAATGTGTTGGTGAATTTATGCCCTTGAGATATATTCCAGATGTTTTACGGGAGCAAAATTATGCTACCTGAGGTTCCTCCATGTTGGCATCCTAGAAGTCCACCTCAATCAGCTAACACATCTGCTCTCTCAAGTTATGTATGACATAATGTTAAGAATTCATGTTAAGAATGAATGCAGCTTTTACTCTGTTCCTGTGATGAACTGAACGTTGATCAGGTTCTATGCCTATGCTCAATATAATTATCCCAGTGGTCCCAAAATACTTGCATTAGCAAGTAATGAAAACTCAGTTTAATGCACCAAGACGTTGTCCTGCTCCCTTTTCATAGCAGATTTTTCCTTATTTTTATCAATAATGGAAAGCCAATTCTAGTCTATGTGCCTGACTCTGGCCCTTTAGAAAGGAGCCTATTTTATAGCAAAGGATCTATAATTAACTGAACATCTATTTCTATTTGTTGTTGGATGTCTTTATGCCCCACAGTTTCTCGTTGCAGGAGAATGAAGACATCTTCTGCCCCTTTTAGTAACGTGCTAGTAACATGGTCTGCAAGACAGAAGTGTGTCAAGCATTATATCTTAGCTTTGTGGTTAGATCAGATATTTTCATTTGATTACTGAGTTGAAACCTGCCTCCCACCAAGATATTTCTCAGCTGTCACCTAAGTGGGGATTAACAATGACATATCAGGGGAAAAAAAATATATATATATGTGTATATATATATATATATTTATCCTGGAAGACATGATTTCTGAGTATCATTGAGTAAAGCCTCTGACTCATTTTCTGAGTTCTTCCTCTTCCAAATCCTCATCATCAATGTGCTTAGAGTTGTGAAGACACAGGTAGACTCTAAGTAAAAAACTTTTTTTTATGCCTTGTTTTAGGGCACATTCACATCTCCAGCAAATTCCGGTATTCTGTGACTCAGTATAGATTCACATATACAGTTGGACTTACCTTTTAGCTTACATTTTCTTTCTAAAGCTTGCTAGAAGTCTAACAGCCTCAACAATTAACTACTAAAAAATCAATATCTCCCCATCTTGCAGCATACAGATGTGCTGTGATGAGCTCTGCAACATTCATTAGAAGACCTTTTCATGAAGGGATACAATGACATTTTGTACACAGCTAGGTAGAAGTCTGTTTGGATGAAGTAAACTTTGCTTTCTTTGAAATGAATAATGATGGTTATTTTAAGAGGTCTTGAAAAGGGTAAAATACCTGCTTGGGTTCTTGTCTAATAACCTTTGTACAATGCTGTGTTCTTTCCATCATGAAAGACACTGGTGATTGATACAGTCATACAAAAAAGAAAAATAACCTCCATCCTTCCTAGCACAGGCAAACTGTATCAAGGAGCTTAATGAGTTTTAACTTCATAGCTTTATTTGGGAGAAAGCAAAGCCAATCCCAAGCTATATTACTATTGAGATAAAGAACCATGTTTAAATTGTTGCAGGTTAATCTAGTGTAAAGCTATTTTAGATGAAAAAGTAGTCGTTCTAAACCTATTTTGAAAATGATGTTATGATAGTAGAGTATGGAAATTTTCATTTAGTGTGGGTGTACAGAAAGCCTTAGAAAATGTTGATTATGTTTTCTCAATTCACTATGGAAAATTTGGCGTAATATGTTAATTCCCTAGTAGCTTACACCAGTAACAATGTCTTTCAAGTTTTTCTCATCTGTATTTCAATTTTTCTAAGCTCTGCGGTCACTGCTGATGGTGCTGCCCCTTCCTACATTCTTAATATATCAAAATATCAATACTGTTGTGAATTATTTGTAGAGCTATGATAAATATCCCCACTGAATTCAGACAAAAATAAAAATAAATCTTAATCTGAAATAAATCTTAAAAAATCTTAATCTGAAATAAAAAGTTTGACATCACTAGAAGGTTTACTCAGGTTCAAAATGGAAGACATACATGCTGATCTTTCAGCCTCTTTCATCTTTCAATGATGCAGAGCTGATGAAATCATTTGGCCTTTCCTTAAATTCCAGAGACTTATACTTTGTCAGTTAAGGTTAATAATTAAAAAAAATAGAGAATTAGAGGGAAACATTTTCTCAAAAACACTCCATGACCATTTTTTGAAGGATACCACTATACGGGACTTAAAGAATAAGAATAAACTACATCTACATTGTTTACTTTTCAGAAAAGGGGGAGAGAAAACAAACAAACAAACAAAAAAAAACCAGCTTGCAGGGTTTTTAACCTTTTGTGCATCAAACCTGCATTTTGTGCATCAGTGAAAAGAAATATTTTTGAATTTACTTAGGAGAAAGCCCAGATTATATATTTGGGTACAGTGGGAATTAGTTATGTCTGTAGAAAAACAAAAAGACTGATGGACATATCAAAAGAAAGGAAACTCAGAAACCTGGCAAGCAGTTGCCGTACATAATCAACAAAAAGTAAGCTGCTCTTGTTGTGGTCTGGTAGAAAAAGCCAGCACATAGCAACATACCATATAAAAATAATAATAATAATAATAAAAATTAATAAGTTCTGGGATATGGTCTTTGCTATACAAGTTACCAAAACTAGATACAATTATGTAAGTCTGAAATAGAATATATAAAGTTCAGGAAATGTGTTCTGATCTTATTAAGGGTACTTTTCCCAGCCACCACCAGCACTTTATCTTTCAGAGCTTGTACTTAAGAACAAGTCATCTCTAAAAAGGAAAAGTTAAAGAGC